TTAATTGTTTTACGCTCTCATATGTATTTAACCGGTAAGGATATTATCTAAATGTTTTATTTATTTATTTTATTGTACTATAGGCTTCGGGAGTAAGTGGCTTTACTCATTTGGTCTGTCTGGGTTTAAGTGAGCTAATTGAGACAAATTCCAACCAATCATGTTGATTTGTCAATAAAGTAATGAATCCTGAATAAACGAAAAGGTGATTTTTGATTGGTACATTGATACAAATAAATGACTGTGGATGTAGAGGACATGAACACTGAAGGGTTGGACACTCAACAAACCTTTTCACTTCCCTCCTCCTCCTCCTCCTCCTCTTCCTCCTCCTCCTCCTCCTCATCCACCTCTTGAGGCTGGATCTCATAGGGCTCCTCATCGACCTTCATATCAGGGTCTTCTTCATCCTCCTGTGTGGAGGCCCTGTAGATGTACAGTAAGCAGTTGGATTCAAACTAAAACTAAGGACGATGAAACATAGATTTAAACTAGAATATTTTTACTCATTTGTAATCAGGCTACCCTGCTATCCTTTGTATATTGGTTCAGGGGCTCATTACAAATATAAGGATAGAAAAAACAAGACCTAGGAAGCTAGTTTTACATTGGATATTCAACAGACTGTCTGAGTCAGAGGACGGTTAGCTCATGTCTGAGCCCTCACACTTTACCACTCTCATTCTCACTTATGGACCATCCATTTTTTTATGACTGATATGAATTGATTGTACATAAATATTTGAATATAAGTTAATAGAATTATCTTTTAATAGAGCTTAATTTCTGTTTATTTCAACAGCTTCCAGGTCAAGTGACACAAAATCAATGCAGATTTATAATGGACATGCATGGAATATTTATTTGTTAATGAATTATATAGTCTACCTTCTACTTGTTATAAACATTTTAATGAAAAAACAGCCGTTTTTCAATTGGAAACTCATTCATTTTTTTGTAGCTTCCATGTCATGTGACCCATTGACTCCAAATAATGCAGCATTGTTATTATTAATGCATTTATGATACTTTCTTTCTTATTATAGTTGACTTCGTTGAAAAATAAAGGTTTCCTGTAGCCTAGACATACCATTGTATCTTATATTACAATATAATTATTGTTTAGCCACTTTGACTTGTCGTTAGGTTTTCTAAAATACTTTTCGCTGTGACTGCCCAGTTTACACACTAACCCGCTCTTGGCCTCTTCATTCTCGAACATCTCAGACGGTTCATACGCCTCTTCTGGGTCCATATCACTGTCTTCCACAGTATGTTGTGTGAAAGTCCTGACAGATATGTTGGTTTCTGTCCTGATGAAAAAGCAGCAGGTCTGTGGCGCCGCGGTCTGTTTGGTAACGTTGCCTTGGCGACAGAGCGACCAGAATAAAGAGTGCTACCTTCAAGTGTCCCTCGTAATATTGAAACCTCAAAAGCAAAACTGTTAGAACTTCAGAGACAGTAGAGGCTTCTCAATACTCAAATTTCCCCTAGGGGAAGCAGCAGACGTTTAAAGAAATGAGAACTCCTCTCCTCTGAGCGGTCATTTTAAAGAGACGTCCATTCATTATTACGTGGCAACAGCTGCATCAGCTGTCGAGTGTTTTGTCATAGCGCTGTATCTCTGTTAAATCAGCTGAACATTGTTCCCCCACATATTTACTTTGAATTCATTGAGAGTGCGGTATAATGACACAATAACAGGCTGCAGATGCGGACACACACACACAAATATATTTATATAAATATATACAATTTAAAGTATGAGAGAACTCTCATAATAACGTAACACAATCAGAGACTGGATATATCCCCCCCTCTCTCTGGTCGCTGAAATGGGGAATTGAAATTACGGGCCAAAAGTTGTATTTACAAGTAGCCTATTAAAAGTAAGCAGAGGACACCAAACCAACTGAGACCCGTCTGTCCGCCGCATTTACGCACTGTACAACACACACCTACACGCTGTACCACACACACCTACAGCTCCAAAAGCATAAGCCGTTGTGTATTTTATTATGTGAAGCAATGGTCTTAGAAAAATATCGACTCTTTGTTTGTAGATATTTACTAAACTAAAGCAAATAAAGAGAGTAGGCCTGTTATACTGAGTGATATATATTATACACACTGCTCTGCTTTCTGCATGGACCGTACAGCTGTTCTCTCTGGAAACATCGCGACGCGATGAAAGCAGTTTCTAAAATAATATCCAGGGGATGCATGCATAGCTGTCATTGGCTGAGATAAGTCCGGCCGTGCGTCACGCCTCCACCGTTCCCGGAAATGCATCCGTGGAGGAGCCGTGGAGGAACCATCAGTGTATCCTCGGTTAGAGCTCCTCCAGAGAGCCTCCTCGACGCTCGATGCTCGGTCCTCGGTGTGCATTTAGAGAAATGAGACGTCCTGCGCGCTGAAATTCATTTCCGGGTCACTACCGGAGGACCGAGGACCGAGGAGTCGAGGAGGGGAAATTTGAGTATTGAGAAGCCTCTAGTCTATTAATTTGAGTAAACATTTTATTCATAAGTGTAAATATTTGAAAGCTAAACCTCATATGACCGGATGGAAGAATGAACTCAAAGTTTTTGCAAAATCGCTCCAATACATGAATGACATTATTGGACTTATTTATGTTACTTGAATAGGACCCACACACTTCCGTAAAGTTATTTTTTTTCCTGTATGTTATTTGTATTTTTGCACTGTATCAACACCAAGTGAAATGTTTTACTGTTACAATGATCCTTGATGGTTTGTAAAATAATTGTCAATAAAAACAAATAATAATAAATAAAAAAGGTCTGTTAATTTGAAGAAAATAAAGTTGAAACTTCAAGGTCGGGCAAAAAAACTCTTTTATTAACAACAAAAACGACAATAGAGTTCTGTTTTCTCATGAAACATTTGTGACAGTTATACTTACAGTTTTGAGAATATTGATACATGTGTAGTTTAACTGGGCAGTTGTAGCAATGCAGAAAGTAAAATACTGATCGTTAATATGATATTTGGCATGTTACTGCCATCTATTGGTAGCATCCGGTTTCTAAACTTCTGACTGGTCATTGTAATTTATAAACATCACGAAAAAACTGTCTGCAAGGCATTAGTATGGTCTGTTTTCTTAACAAACAAAAAAACGTTCTAGACAGTTATTTGATACTATCACTTTATTGGAAATATTTTATGATTGTCATTAAGGAAACAAAAATGGGAAGGCATATTAACACAAGCATTTTTACAGGAGTAGTACATGACCTCTAAATACAGTCAGTTAAAAAAGTATTTTCTTAAAACTGATGTAACATTATCACGTATAACATTATCAAATGAGGTCTGCCTATACTCTTAAGACATTAAGCAAGTTTAAAATACTAGGTCTTAAGTCACGCATGTATAACCATCAAAAACTATACTAAAAACAATATTCCAAGGGCAACAAACTGCCTGCAAAAGTCACGATAGCTTATCTAGAAATAGAATCAGAATCAGAATCCCTTTATTTGTCCCACAGAGGGAACATGTATTATGTACATGTATTAAAGAGAGAGGTAAGCACCACGTTAAAAAAAGAACATCACAATTACAAACCAACAGGTCTACATGGTACTTGGGTAATAAATATAAATCTGCTTTTAAAAAAATTGTCAATATTTGCATTAAACAGTCAACATTTATACATAATGTTCACTAAAAGAATCAGGCACAGTGACTTGATCATGAGGCGTACCGTGGTTGTAATATTCAAAGAAACCAGGAGGTGGCGGTACTGTCTTGTGATCCAAACTCAACTCAGGTTCCACAAACTACTATCCCCCAAACCTTTTATGTTTGACAAGATGTTTCAAACACATGCAGATTTCACTGCCATGTCTCAAGAACAGATATCCTGTCACGCACATGCACAACATCCACACTTTGTAAGCCACACACACACTCTTCACACACATGATTAATGTCTTCTCAAGCTGATGGCAAGATGGGCACTCTCCGGTCGTCCACACAAACAAACCCACACATGGGTCAGATGTTCCTGCCCTGTGAAGTGCCCCCCTACCCCTCACCCCCCGGGCACCTCACCGCTCCTTTGGCCTCAAGTGGCCTCAGTTGCTGCTGAGCCACAAGGGATGTAAGTCAGCCAGCAAAGGTTTCTGACATCTGATCCAGCATCTGTGATGTCACCAACAGCTGACTTGTCATAAGACCTTTGTGAAAGGGGGGGAAGTAAGGGATGAATGAGGAGAAGGCCTTATTTTCAACAGACCCTTAGCTGGAACTCTGAGTGCTTTTGCATCAAGCTGCCGAGATTACAAACTGAATGACTGCCATTAGAGAGTGATTCTATAATCTATTATAATACCATAAGCTAGGGATTGACAGACTTTGACCCCACTCGCAGGTGTATAATAAGCCCCATTCACTCTGCATATGCTCTGTGAGAGAGGGTGCATGTGTGTGTGTCTGCTAATTCCTACCCCCAGGGGCATATGTTTACTCCTTCTTCAACAAAGCATCATATTCATTGCACAGGGGTTGAGAGGTGCATAATCTAAGCCTGACCTTCAGCCAGTTAACTAACTGACAGTTCATAGTGGTGGTGGGGAGGGCTTGCGTAACAACTTAAGTCCTGACTAACAGTTTGTTAATATTGCACTAACGAAGGAGACATTCAATGCTTTGTATCATGGGATGCACTGAGGAGAATGAAGCAGAGTGGAGGAAAGCAGAGAATACAGAGGCATTTAGTCTAGAGGAGGCTGTGACCTTGTCAAAGAACAAAAAACTGTCATTTGTCAAGAATTAGATTGAATAAATCGAAGAGGAAAGGCCAGATTCAGAAACAACACAAAGAGCATCCTCTTCTTTCAAATCTGAAAAGTGTGCTGGCCTTGTCTCAAGGTAACCTGGCAAAGAGAAGTACTGTATGTTTTTGCCATCTGCTGGAGCATCTTTTTTGCAAACAGCCATACAGTTTATTTTCCATCGTAACCATGTTGGTTGTAAATGTTAAACTGCACGATTTGTACCTTTTTAAATGAGGAGAAAGAGTGAGGGACACTGACAAACACATTATGCAGAAGAAGAGGATATTACAGGAAACAATAATAACATCATGTGTTCATAATGATGTAAATGAAATAAACTCAAGGGTCTTTGTTGCCAGTCTCTTATTGTTTTTTCATTCTTATAAGACAGGGTCTGAGGTTTGGGTCATCATTTATCCACTCAACAATCCTCAGTTCAGCCGTCATGCTTCAACATGTTATATATTACATTTAGAAGACGCTTTTATCCAAAGCGACTTACAATAAGTGCATTCGACCAAGAAGATACAAACTTGAAGAAAACAGAATCATATAAGTACAATCAGGTTTCATAGAGCTACTCAACTGGCTTTAGATAAGATATATATCCTTTATCTCTACCTGGTTAAATAAAGGATATATACAACATGCCTGCTTTATTCCTCCTCAGCTCCTCCTCCTCCTCAACGCGTTCACACATTACCGAGAGCAAGAGAAAGGATGAAGAGTTGCACAATTTAAAGCCTGGATTTATCAAAATGAGAGCAATCAAGCGATGTGTTTTGCAATTTGGTAAAAAAGTGTGTCAAATAATGAATCATTAGGTACAAAATACAAAGATTTTAACTAAAATGTGATCAATCTGAGAAGTTCTTAGTAGATGATCCCTTATTAGAAAATATAATGAATAACATTTATTAAAACTGTAATTTAGATTTGGACAAGTCTGTAAGATAAAATAAAGTGTGCATTTACATCCAAATCACAATGGCTATGTACATCTCTGAGCACTGATGTCCTAGAGGCTATATTGTTGTAATTCGGAATATTGCATAAAAATGACAGGCTCTTTTCAGAATCAGAATTAAAGATTCAAATCTATAAATCAACCATATTGAATTGATATGAATTAACGTCCAGAATCCTTTACTTTATGAGTGTGTACAAACCTTAGTATCTAAAAGTCAATATGTATTCTGTTTTTGATCTTATCCTTATCTTACAAAAACCTCAGCATGCAGGCAGTCCAGATCAGGATGTGAGTCAGTTTTCATAAATCGAATTAATTTCTTCCGTATAAACTGTAACACTTAGAGATTTATTATTCTCACAGTCATTGTTTCTTATCAAAGCTCTTTGTGGGTGGATTAGGTGTACACTAATTATGCAGGCATTAGGCCGTGATTACTGGTGGATTTTGTTTTGTTTTTTGCCAGAGTTCAGTCAGTTTAGTGAAAGGGTAAAACAGCTGCCTTTGCATTTTATCATAAACTGTGGCCAAGAAAAAAAGCACAATTCTTAAGCACTTGAAAAGAAACATGTTCTTCTCGCAGCTCACTAAAAGACCCTTGTCTCTCTTTTACACAGTGGCAAAAAGAAGACTCCAAGCCTGATCTTATAACGAAAGCTGCACCCGTCTGTCTCTAAAGATGGAGTATGAAGGAAAAAGATAAGAACATTAAGCTGGTTAGAACGCAAACATCCAGAGATATACTGTCATTTTGTGACATGTGAGGCTAACAATTCAATGGATGAGAGATCAAAATCCAGAGTACGACTAAAACATTCTCATTAGGCACTTCACGTCGCCAACCTGTTGCTCATTGTTGCAGTCGGCAGGAGAACATTTAAAGAAATGCATGGGTTGAAATGTGTTCATTTGTTTCATAGGACTAAATGATCTGCATACACGTCAGTCAGCTGCCTGTCCGCTAATGCCATACTGTGAGCCAGTCATTCTTCATTAGGGTAAAGATAATACATGGAGTGATGAGAGGTTAATACATGGATCTAAGTGAGAGTGTCACAGTTTGAAGGTACCTGAAATCTACATGATGATACTCTATACTTCTGCAGAGGGAAAATGTGTACTCTTTTTCTATTTATTTGTATCATCTCACACATAAAAGTGTATAATATTTGTACTTGTTGGATATTGACACTTTTACTAATAAAGTATCTTAATACTTTCTCCAGCACTGACCTGTAGTGAAGTATTCGAAATGAAAAAGTACTTGTTTTTAAGGTGTTTGTGTTATTTCTGCTCTCCACAAAAACAATAAATTGCCCTGTTAAAGCTGCTAAACGTCCATATGAAAATGGTCAGTAATTGCTCAATCTTAATCTGAATAAACAAATATTCCTTATTTCTAACCATTAACTTGTAGTCAAAATATGTCTCCCACATCTGTATTAAAGTTTCCACATCATATCTAGTGTCAAACTCTTCACATAACCAAACAAAGACCAATCTAATATAATGTTGGTCACAAACTAACTGGTGTTGGGGATCAAATAAACTCCATCTACATTATTACATCTCTGTTTAGGCCTGTGCATCTGTAATGTTAATCCAATAATACAGTAGCCTAATAATGCAGACTGAATGGAGCCATTCCCAATGAGAACCATTTACATTTTTTAGGTTAACATGTTCACTCACTACATATGGACCCGCTATTTTACTTATGGTATTTTTAGATGGTGACATTACTACTCTGACTGTAAATGGCTGAATCACGGGGGGCTGCAGCTTTTCCATCCGATCTGCTGTTCACGTGGCGGGGTGCGCTCCATTTCTCCGGGAGGTTTTCCTGACTTTCAGCCCCGCTTAAGGTCCCGGTGGGGAAAGCAGCGAGGCTTATCGGGAATCAAAGCTGTCATTCTGGAGCTTCGGGCCCCTCAACACTTCACCAGAGGTAGGAGAAGTACTCAGATCTGGTACTTGAGTAAAAGTAGAAGTACCAGAGTGAAGGAATACTCTGTTACAGTAAAAGTCCTGCATTCCAAATGTTCCTCAAGTAAAAGTAGAAAAGTATTAGCATTACAATATAGTACCAAAAGTGAAAGTACTTATTATGCAAATACGTCCATTTCCAAATAATATATATTGTATGTTTTGATCATAATTATTGATGCATTCAAGGGTTCATCAAAGTTATCTACTTTGAATTGCCTTGAATTGTGTTGAAAGGTGCTATATAAATAAACTTGCCTTGCCTTACTTTGTATTCTGCAAGGTAGCTTGTGAATTTACTCTAGGTCATATTTAAGTGTTGATTATATTTAACAACATTAAACAAAATCTGAAAAGTAACTAAAGGTACAAAGTAAATGTAACAACGTAAAAGTACACGATTTACCTCTGAATTAGAAGTACAACAATGGAAATACACAAGTACAGTATTTCAAAAATGTAACTTAAAGACAGTACTTGAGTAAATGTACTTAGTTGCTTCCCACCTCTGCACCTCGCTGTGTGTTTGTAGCATCAGGATCATATGACTGGGCATATCCTAAGGCTCTTAGACCTGCTGATGGGCCGCACTCCACAAGACCAAAAAGCCAAAGGAGTTTAACGGATGTGTTGCTGCGATTATTCGGCCAAGTATCTTTATCCCACATCTAGATTAGCTGCTAATGATGGAGGAAAAGCCGCGTTGCAAGAAACACAAGGCCATGTAACCTGAGAACAAGGGTCATGACTGTGTGAAGAAACAGATTCAGCCATAATACAACATGGGCTCATTAGAAGTAAAATAACTGCAGTCACTGTTATGTGTTTACCAAAACAACAAAAATAAAGCACAAGTTCAAGATCTGCATTCAATAGAGGTCATATTGGTCAAAATAAGTTTGAATATTAAAAGTAAAGCTACTAATTTTGAAGATATTAATTAATTACCTTAAAAGTCGTTTAAAATGTACATTTTGAGGTAATAATGTGCCTCAGTATTGTCCACCAGTAAATAAGGTCCCTTACTACAACTCAGATTAAACTAAATTATCATCAGCATAAAACTGTCTGTGGTTAAATCACAGCACATCATTTTGCAGGTTGTCTCTGACGTGAACGTATTTATTCATGCTTATGCATTACAAATTAAAGTTTACATTATTTCACAGCAAATGCATTTTTTACTGATTCCTAAATAGAGACATAAATGAGAGTTCACCGTCATGAGCGGTGAGAAACCTCTTAACAAATTAAGTTAAACATCAGTGGGAAACGACAACAAAGCACATTAAAAGCTTTATGCAACCAAAAAGAAAAACAGTGACTGGAAACCAGGTAACATCACAGTGTGGACCTCTGGAGTGCTCTTACATTATGTGTGTTAGGTCTTTATTTACTCCCACCCCACTGATGTGCACCCCCCCCCCTTCTTACAGCAGATACATGTCACCACTAATGGACATCAAGTGCTTCCTTTTTTGCTGCCCACTTCTGGACATACATTAGAGACAGAAACCCCATTTCTCAACCCTTAAATAGTGCGCATATTTCCTGGTCTCACACACCACACACACACACACACCACACACACACACACACACACACACACACACACACACACACACACACACACACACACACACACACACACACACACACACACACACACACACACACACACACACACACACACACACACACACCACACACACACACACCACACACACACACACACACACACACACACACACACACACACACACACACACACACACACACACACACACACACACACACACACACACACACCTCACTCTTTTTAGTGACAGCTGTGTCTCTCCCTGCAGGATGTGCTTCAAAATGTGAAGACTGTTTGAAAGAAAGGAGAGGATCTGTGCAGCAACATTAACCACCACGTAATTAGGAGTGTATAAAGGTATTCATACACTTTAAACTCAGAGCCCGCATATAAAAAGGTATACAATTTCAATTCTGCATTTACTTCACTTTGAGAAGAATATTTTAAGGGTATAAAAGCAAATGTTCAAAGTGCCCAAAGCATTTTACTTTCACTTTAATTATGCAGATCCTTGAAGTCCTCTGAATACTGATGGGTATCACAGCCTCTTGTGAAAACAAACAAACAAACAAACAAAAAGGGAATGCTGTTGTTGAGTCCTCTACGTTCAAACCTCTCAAGACGGAAATGAGTCAAATCTTCTCCCAGGATGTTACTTCTGATAAAAGAGTGCCGTCCTCCATTTTATTCACCCGTCTCCTCTTCAGCTCAGTTTGTCCTGAATGTTCATCAGAGTGTTGTATGACCTCGCCCGTTTGGCTGTGAAGACACAAAACTTAGATTAATCCAACAACCAAAGTACCATTTTAGGAGTTAAACAACTTTGTCTGTCGTATGTTGTGTTATTCTAGAAATTAAAAGTAAAATAGTCATTATAGACAAGTCAAAATGGTCATTATAAATGCACAACCTGAAGGAGATAATGAAGATGATACGACCACAGACAAATCCATGGTCCTAATGCAACCTTGTTACAAACATTGTCACTTTGTATTCATACATATAAACATAACTCATCATTTGCCAAATAAAACAAACGGTTTTGCTCAGTTTTTTTTGCACATTTCATTAAAAATAAATTGTCAACAAAGAGTAAAAACAAGAATTTCACACCACAGGGCTTTGAGACTTGCTTTTGACAAAAAGAAGACGAAAGCAAGTTAATATTAATGTTTCTCTCGGATTAGTCTAATGCAAGGTTTCACAAAAGAGCATCAACCTGCATAAAGACCCTGAGAAAAACCCACTTGTGAGCCATAAAGATTATGATAAGATTAACAGAATATCAATATCGTATTACATTTATTTGAGTTTTGTGTCTCTGGTTCACTTCTTTCTGAAACACATTTCAAATCTAAATAGAGTGGGATTATGAAATATAATGCCCATGACAAAAAAAGTGTTTTTCCTGCTGCAAGAGAAAGGCAGATTCCCAGAGCGAGGTTCAGGGACCCCCAGGGGGCCCCGGCAAACTGCCAGGGGGGTGGGACATGTTTTCATTCATTAATTTTAATCATCATGAGCTTATACATTCATCTTTTTCAATAATGAACAGAAAAAAGTATAGAAGTTCATAGATGTGTTTTTTTAATAACAACATTTCACTATTGGACTGCAAATATGTTTTATTCATGTCTCTTGTCTTTCTTATTCAATTCCCTCTCAAAATGAAGAACCTGTGCTGTGGATGACTCTGGTCTGCAACACTAAGAAATGTTATTAAAAATTCAAACTCAGTTCTCTTAAATCACTAGATCTTGCTACTTAAGAAGAAATGTGTTTTTAAGAGTCATTCTTGAATGATGCCCAATGTGTCCTTGACCCCCTCATCAAAAAAAGTTCCCACCCTCCCCAATCTGGGTAAACGACCTCTGATCCTTCAAGGCAACCATCATCCAGCAACAGACACAACAATAGATTGTCCAACCCTGTCTATGATCCAGAGGTTTGCAGGAGGCAACCCCACCATGCTTTAGAACAACCTAGAACACCCCCCCCCCCATCCCCACAAAACCCCAATATCACAGTCAGTCAGCCCCCCCCCCCCCTCCACAAAAACCCCAAACCCCTCAAAACGCCGTCGAAAAATCTCTCCGTGTGACAATGGGCGAATTAAGCTGGTTACTCACGGTGTATGAGCTTGCGTTTCTTTTGTTCAGAGTGAAGGAAGCTGCTCAAGTAGAAGATGATGGGCAGAAAGAGCATGAAGCTGGACACGGCGATGACAGGCACCGTCTCCTCGCGGGGGAACGAACAATTGTACTCCTTACTCCACAGTTTGCGAGTCACATTCATCTGAAACGAGGCAAGGTGCCAAACTCAACATAGACTTCAGCTGAGCACAATTATAGGACACTGTTAATACAACCCTGTTGATTTCCTGTGCTCAAATGTTCACTGCATTCAGGCATGTGACAATATCTTGCTCTGATGACACTGAGGGAGAGGTAACAGGAGCATTAATCCTGCAACCCTAACAAGCATCCTTTTCTCATTTTTTATAAGATTAGTTTTCCTTTTTCCACTTCTGATTATGGTCCTGAATCACAGATCCATTTGCCAATGTTCTACTTTTTTTCACACCATGATACAAGTTTATCTTATCAATGCCCTGAAAAACAAAGGAGATATTTTAAGGCAAAACTAAAAAAGCATCTCATTCCATAACCAAGGCTTTTAAAGTACTTTTGGAATTTGTTGTTTCCTCCATTTCCAGTAAAATGTTACAAGGTTTAGGCCTGACAAACATATCCAGAGGAGATTATCCTGGCACCAGCTGAAGGTTAGTAAAGACCCCTTTAACGGTCCTTTAGTGCTGACAAATTCCTGTAGGGGGCGCAGCTTTCTCTCTTCCAAACTCTATGAACTTCTTTAAATGCCTGACATACATACCACATCCTCTATGTCAATACACATGGTTTTGTTGGTCTCCATTCGGCTGTACAGCTCATTCAGGCCTCGGTAGGTGTTCTTACAGCTTTTGCACAGCTCCGTGTGATTCCCCTGTGAAGAACAGACATCATAAATAACATCGGAACAGGAACTCATGATGGACACACAGATTTCATCCACTTATATATGGCGTACCTCTTTATATTTCTCAAAGCAGGTGAGAGTTTGGTTGACAGAGCTCATGAAGTACAGCGTGTCGTTGGTGAGGCTGTGGAATCCTTTAGTGACACAGTCTGCACAACAGGAAGAAAAAACAGCCGGTCGTTAGGTATGTTTATTTAGTTCAAATGGACACATTTAATCAAATAATAAAGATCTCACCTAACCCTTTTTTTCCCAAGCTCTGAACCAGGTTTTATAAAAATACAAAAGATGTTTGGAAACATTTAAAGATTCCATATGGGGATCCTAAAGTTGTACCTTCTTATTCGTCAACAGTTATTGCATTTTAGTTGCGTTTCATAGTAAACTGAATTGTTTTCTTTTAAGGACGACCTTTTTGATGGGTTAACCATGCGCTTTAGGACATATATCGCACATTATTTTACTTTCTTCAGCCATTTTTTAAACCTAAAGACAAAATAAGTAATTCATTGATCAACAGTCAGTCATCACATAATGGTCCTTAATGTAAAACAACATGCATATTGAATCCTACTGACAGAAAACAGTGTGGAGATCTACCAAATCTGATTCAATTATCCAGCTTCCATTGGTCTCCAATAAAAAGCCAGTCACATGTTTGATCTCTGCTGCAAGTGTGACCACTTTAATTACAGCACGTTAAGAAAAACACCAACTGAACCCGGCCTCTACTTGACCCCGCACTCTGACCTCTGTGGTCAAATGCATCGCCATATGTGTGAATCAGAAGTTCAAACGTAGGCACATGTTCACATTTACACCAACCCCAACATTTCAGACATGTCCAGTTTAAATCCATGCAGAATACCTACTGGCACAGTCTGATTTGCCCCAGATGTCTTCCAGGTTGTTGTAGAGCAGATAAACCAGCATCAGGCGATCGTTGCGCAGAATGCTGTCCCTGCAGCTCTCATTGCCAGGAACCACCTGAGGACACACAGACACACTGCATCATTCAATGATCTTACAGGGAGGAAGAACCATTGGATTTTATCACCAAGAACCACTCGCATTAAAGGTCCCATGGCATGGCCATTTCTACTGATCATAATTCCATTGTTGAGGTCTACTAAAATAGATTTATATTGTGCAATTTTCCAAAATCGCATTGGTTTCTCATACAACATCTCTGTATAGTGTGTATTCACTCTGTCCTAAACAAAGGTCGCGTTAACCGAATATTTTCCGTCTATGACGGATTTTTTTAACAATGACGGAAAAATCTGAAAGCAGTCCGTCATTTTGACAGATTAGAACAAACTCGGAATAGCGCCAAAGTTTCCCCGCATTGAGGCTCCGGTGTTAAGCATGCCTGCCAAAAAGGAAATGATACCGTTTCCAAACCCAACTTTGCCCAATGTTTGTACGGCAAAGTCGGGTTTGGAAACGGTATCATTTCCTTTTATGGCCACTCTAGTCAATGGGTGCTATTCCACCACACGTGCCGTGTTACGGCTCAGACGCGTCCTAGAAGTGGCTCGGCGCAGCGCTGCTCTAAAATTAGGATGAATCCTATTTTTGCCGCGGCGCAGCCGTAACTTAAGCTCGGGCAGGCAGCCCCCCCTCGCAGGAAGTGGAAAGGTGAGCATCCGGGCCCATCCCCCACATATACTAATTTAGCAGACCCCCCTCCTTCATCACAACACCTCCACTACGATACGCACGACGAGGTTTTCATCATGGAAGTGGAAAAACACACTATTTTATATTAATTAATAATTTATAACAACAATAAACACAATTTAAACAGACACAAAAATAAAACATTTAAAGGAATGGTATGCTCATGACACTCATTTAAAAAAAATTATCATCAGACAGACCAGTCTCTGCCAGTCTTTTTTTTAAAAATGTTTTATCCAATGACATTATCAGTGATTTTAAACTGATTAATTACCGAAATAACATCAACACTGTGGGCGGCGCCATTTTACCGGACGTGACGTAAACCATGCGTTTGGTTTCGAGGACACGTCGATGTTCATGTTATTTACTGTAGTTACTCTCTTCAAATATGCCTCATTGTATCGCGAAACATTGCCACAATTCTGATAGGAACAATCCACGGAATGCTCGGTTCCATCTGTTGCCAAAAGGTAAGCGTAGGAAGTAAGTTCGGACCAATTTACTCAAATTATTTTTGTTTTACACTGTTACTTTTAAAAACAGGTTATGATTATATGATACGATGCAGCAGCATCAACTTAATTTCCCAGTAGTATACAAAGTATCACGTACAAATAACAACTGAATACTGCAATAATCTATAATAATATAACACTTTGTAAGGAGCCGTTCTGCATAAATACATTACCTTAAAATATGTTTTTGATGTACTTCATTTTTAGTAACAATCAGAGTTCAGGATATTTACTTGTAATGGAGTGTTCGGTAGATCGATAGAAGTACCAGAGTTTAGGAATAAGTTAAGTTAAAGTCCTGCAATCAAAATTCTCAAGTAAAAGAAAAGTATTGGCATCAAAAGGAAGAGTGCATTCACACCTAATAGTCAGTTTTCTGGTGCGCACCAGGGGCCTCATTTATAATGCCGTGCGTAGGATTCACGTGGGAAGGTTGCTTACGTAGTAGAAATCCAAAAAATAGGTACAGAAATGTTCCGACATTTTCCGATTCACCAAACATTGCGTACCGGCGAGGAAAGTGCGGACGGCACTTCCTACGCCGGTTTCCCTTTATAAATCACATTCGACTCGAAATGCGGTGCAGCTTTTGCGGGCTTCACGTAACGCCCATATTTGCCTATAAATAGTCAAAGAAACGCCCATTCATTCATTCTGACTGACTTTATGAAGAAGATCGCAGGAAATGAGGACACAACAGCTACAAAAATACATCTCACACCGTGTCAGATTTTGGTTATTTTGGGGAGGTCAAGATAAATCATATTGTTTGGTGGATGCAGTTTGAACCAGAGTAGCAGCATGGAGGTCGGATCGTCACCAAAATAAATAAATATGTGGTCCGAAAAAGGTTCATGACAAAAAAAATACACATAGCATTCCTCTGGCAGTGTGTTTGTACTCCTGTCCTGTCTCCTGTCCCCGGACAGGAGACACCCCCTTGATGAGAAACTGTAAGAAATGGTTGGGGAATCCCTCCGGAGTGGAGTCATGACGACTGGATCTGAATTATGTTTTTGTATTTTGTGGTTTGTGTCCCAGCTGGCGATCAGTTGTGCACAGCGTCTCCGCTGCAGCCTGTGCATCTCAACCCCCCCCCCCCCCCCCCCCCCCCCCCCCCCCCGCAGCAACTCTATATCCACCAGTTAAAGGAAATACAACTAATGTGTTGCGTTATATTAGCTGTACAATTTACCACATATGGTGTTCTTAGTTTCCATACCTCCTGTGTTTTACGAGCGACTTATCAAGTCTTGGCAAATGGCATAAAACACAATTAAACATGATAGTATATAAAACCATGCTCGTATCTACAACCTATAGAAATGCTAAACGGCGTCAGTTTAGACGTAATTCTGTCCTCCTGCTTACCGCATCATTTATGAGAAAACATTTCATAACATTAACACAACATATTCGAGGTGGTTTTAAATAACATATCCGTATTTATTTATTTCTCCAAGTTATGTTTTTGTGTGCACTGAGGAGTCTCAAACAGGCGTTTGCTAAATCATTTTAAGATTGGCTTTAATCAATGTTTGAAAATGAATTCTTCATATATGATAAATAAGAGGTAACATTTTATTTATGGTATTATTTCCACACATTTCTCTCCATTCTTCCTTCTGCCAACGGTGTCGCAGTTTCTCGTCCCTCCCGTTTTTGTGCTTAGTGCGTACGCATGGGTTAGAGTTTGCGTGGAGGACCGCACATTTTCCCGTCAAGTTAGTATTTTATAAATCGCAAACATTGCGTAGAAACTGGCGTAAGCCATTTTTAATTTTTTGAATGTATATCCCTTTATAAATTAGGCCCCATACCACAGTTTGTTACATTGTTTCATTTTTCAGAAGGTTCGGTTTGCGTTCACACTGGCAAGTCATGTGCACGAAAATGCTGTACAACCATTGGTCAGACATTAAGGGGGTAAAAACAACGCAAATCCCGGCCATTTCTACCGGAGCCTCCGCCATGGAGCATCGGCACTTTCGGCAGGTTATTCTCATGCTGCTGTTAATCTGGAGATCAACAGACTCTAGCGGCCCGCACATATAATTATATAATCAGACAACGTCCGTTAAAAAACATTAATGAGAGACGTTCTGCAGTAAGGAGGGGCGTTTCACCGACGACAGGTGTTCTTACTTTTATGTAGTTGACGGAGCATTTTTACTTTACACGACCTGTTCAACACTTAATTCTGCTTCACTCTTTAACTAAACAACCGCGGATGTCTTGAAAGACTCTTTCGATAAAGATTTTGAAGACATCCGCGTTCTTGTGACACGTAAATACTACGCTTCCTATGTTTTGGTGCGGACTGTGTTCACACCAGCAATGAACCACTCCAGAGTTCGCAAGCAAGCGCTCCGAGACCACCTATTTTAGCGGACCAGAGTCCGGTTGTTTAGTTCACTTAAAGGAATGGTATGCTCATGACACTCATTTTTAAATAATTATCATCCGATAAAACAGACCAGTCTCTGCCAGTCTTTCTTTTTTTTTTTTTTTATCCGATGACATTATCAGTGATTTTAAACTGATTAATTACCGAAATAACATCAACACTGTGGGCGGCGCCATTTTACCGGACGTGACGTAAACCATGCGTTTGGTTTCGAGGACACGTTGATGTTCATGTTATTTACTGTAGTTACTCTCTTCAAATATGCCTCATTGTATCGCGAAACATTGCCACAATTCTGATAGGAACAATCCACGGAATGCTCGGTTCCATCTGTTGCCAAAAGGTAAGCGTAGGAAGTACGTTCGGAGGCAGTGGCTAGCGAAATGTGGCCGGCCCGAACCGAAAGATCCACAGGCGCATGTATGCAGCGAACATTTCAAGTTTCCGGACGACTACTCTGAGAGTATGATAAAACATAACATGGGATTTATTGAACAACCATTACTTAATGGAGATGCAGTACCATCGGTCTTTCTGGTGTCATCACCGACCAGGACACCAGTTCGGCCAGTTGAGAAATCGCCCTCTGCAAGTGTGAAGCGACGGAGGACCAGAAGTAGTGCTCGGAGTAAGAATAAGGTATGTTATAGCGCATTTCCATTGCAGCGGGTAGCCCCGTTTAAACGTCCTTTATCGTCCAGGCCAGGCCAGTTTTTGGTGGCCTTTCCATATAGCGTAGTACCGGCTAGTGGGTATTTTCCCCCAGTTTTTCCGGCCCCATAAAATCGTGGTTCTAGGGCCAGGGACAACGAGGCTGATTATGCTAAACTAGAGAGGGAATCGCTAGCAAGGGTGGTACTATATGCATACATATCTAGTAATCAAAATCATTGTATCTACTAAGTAGTACTAAGTAGGCTCGAACCTGTATGGCTGAATTCCCCCATCCAATCTCTTCATATTGCTCAAAACTTCTTCCTCGGCTGACGAGTCCGAACTCAAATACTATGCCATGTTTTCGTGTGTTTACAAAGTGAACGCATGGATGACGTCACGACCATCACGTGACTACTGAAAATGGCCAAAATGGCAGCTGCCTGACGGAATATACAGGTTTTGATAAAAAAAGAGCTATAAAATCATTATTTACCGGGGAATATCGCTGATTTCTTCAGGGTATGGTTTAAACATAATGTTTCACTAAATACTGAAGTTTTGATTAATTATCTAATGAGTGGAGCATTCCTTTAAGAGGTCTCGGATTGTGTTCGTCACACCGACCCAAATGAACCGCACCAAGCGGCTAAACGCACCAGGGTTAGATTCAACCGGACTACACAAGGCAGGTGTGAACGCACCCTTAAAGTACCAAAAGTAAAAGTACTCATTATGCAGACTGGCCCATTTCAGAATAATATATATTATATGTTTTGATTAAAATGATTGATGCATTAAAGTGTTATCAAGCTGTTAAAGGAGGCATGTGGTGCAGTGGGCTAGTGTGTTGGTGTTAGGATCATGGGGTCACAGGTTCAAACCCCAGCTTGTTGTTGTGTCCCTGGGCAAGACACTTCACTGGGGATTGTCCACAGTATTGAGTATGTAAGTCGCTTTGGATAAAAGCGTGACATGTAATGTAAAGGTGCAGTTAGTTTTAATGACTATGTATACTGAAGGGGAGCTTGTGAATTTACTTCAGGTGTAACTAAAGTCTAATTTAACTGTTGATTATATTTCACATCCAAATCTGCAAAGTAACTAAAGGTAGGCTATTAAATAAATGTAGTTGAGTAATAGTACAGTCTTTACCTCTGAATTGTAGTGGGTAGAAATAAGTACTTAAATTGGGGTACGTAATTTTGGAGAAACCAGCGCTAGAATTTGAAAGTACACAACCGGAAAAAATCTGCCTCTTCCTTCAGACTTCCTTACAGAGCCCCTCCTCCAACACACACGAACGCATGCACGAACGCGCACATGACCAATGAGGGCACGAGATAAGTGTGTGCACAGATCACAGATGGCAGGTAGGCCATCCAGTTATTTTAGCCGGGCCGGCTAAAATGATTGGTCGTGCTTTTTACAGTACTACGGCTTCCACAGATGACATTTTTGTATGTATTTATTGTCAAAGCACTTAAGATATTCATTCCTATCGGGATGTTAAGAGCATTCCATGGAATATAACAAAAAGTGTTTCTGAAATAAATTACATACCCCACCTTTAAGTACAGTACTTGAGTACATTTACTTTTTATGTAATGTAAATTAATGAATACTCCTTCCACCACATATAACATCCAGGTTAAGATTGTATTCCTGATAAAAGCAAATAAAATGTTTTCCTCAGTTTTCTATTGATAGCAAGTGAAGCAGATGAACTGGTGTTTCCTCTAATTTGACACCACCAGTCAGACACATCACAAGACTCGTGACTCGACCACACACACACACACACACACACACACACACCAGCTGTCCTCTTTGTGCAGGCAGACAGTTTACTGAAATCTAAAACACAGAAAAATTACTTTGCGTCTGAGCACACACCTCTGATGAGATTTTCAGGTAGATCTCCGTGAGGCTGCCATAGCTGGAGTAACAGTTCTGGCAGACTTTCACAGGCCGGGACGAGTTCACGGAGCAGTTCACATAGGTGACATACCGCTGACCGAAGATGTGCAGCAGGTCGCTGCAGTATACAGAGATCTCCTCGTCTTCTGGGAAGGAGGACAGCAGGTTCAGGGAGAAAATAGAGTCGACATCCGGCTTCCTAAACACAGGCGAGTTCACCAAAACAACAGCAGCAGCAGGACTGTAAGGCGAGCTTTGTGTCAGTGTGTCCGCTGAATCTGAAGCAGAGACGTTTATACCATCACCAGACACGAGAGCGTAAATATTAAGTACTAAAATAAGCAAAAAGTAACAGTTTTTGTGAATAGACATGATCGAAAACAAGGATTAAAGCATCTGTTCCTCTTCTTGCTCTACACACAACACATGATTTCCTGGTTTTCTCCCAACCTGATCATGTGACTGTATGTAATCTCGCGAGAGTACATCGCGGACTCAGATCAGTACTATAACTTCTCATCATAAACCGTTCATTGTTATTCTGATACTCATATAAATGTAGACTAATATCAAACATTATGAAATGTGACAGTATGAAATATATGTTTTAAAGTGTATACTATAACACAATAAATATAACTTTTTACTGGGAAACAAAACAGTGCTTTAGTAAAATTTCTAGTGGTAAATAATATGAAAATTACAAAGATTATCATAATATGTTATTTGTTTACAAATGTTTTTAAATTATTACTATTTATAAAAAACAAATTAATGATCGTAGTATTATAATAGGCCTATATAATAATTATTTAAACTACATTAATGCCTATAGGAGTCATAGGCCTATTTTATAAAAAGATCAATGGAATAATCCATACATTTTTATATCTATCTATCTATCTATCTATCTATCCTATTTCAAGTAAAACGCTATTTCCATTGTTCATTGCCCACAGTTGTTGTAAGGGGGGAGTGTGAGTGTGCGTGCATGTAAGTGCGTGCGTGCTTGAAAGAGATAGCCGTTCCTCCTGGTCTCCTCATTATTTAAGGTTTTTTGACACCATACAATTTTGCAATGTGCGCTCGGCTCGGAGAAAATAATCACGGAGTCAAGGTAAACGATTTGGGCTCCAATCCTGATTGTGATAATTGTCACAAACCCCCTCGAATCAAGCAACCGCAGTCAATGGTCGTTAATGTGAAATTAGTGGCTCTTGATAACTTGCAGGCCGCATCAATTCCGCAGTCATCAGAGCTAATGAAAATAAGGGGGGAGAGAATGCGCGCGGTATTAGCGGCCTATTCTGATGCCTGCGTAGAACTCCATATGATATGGGCTAAATATGGATCCTGTCTCTTATGCTCCTCTCACTGCACATGCAGCTCATTAACTCTTCTTCTCCTGACCACAGTTCACCTAATTGTTCAGATGTTCCCTATTCCTTTATCATGGTCTGGCACTCAATCATTTACTACAACTTAAACCCTTTATGATCTTGCTTTTATGATTCATATTGTAACATCATTTTGTGTAGTTATGTTCTCTTGTCTACACTTTAACTTTTTTAAATGTTTCACACATAAAAAAGGGACACGTCTTTCCTGTTATTGTTGTGACTAATGTGAGTTTCGGTCTGCACTTTATCACATTATTCACTAAGTTTGGCATGTCTTTCCTCTGCAGGCTAATCAGAACTGCACTAAGTAAAAATCGGCATATCATTACTACTTGAGATGACCGTTATTGTCAGATGGCAGAAAATGCCTTCATTAGCATGAGACAGATAGAAAAACCAAGAGGACAAAAATCACTAATTAGGCCCATAAATTAGATGATGGTGCTGATGAGAACCCTTCAGGAGGGATGGCAAGACTCCGAAGCTCTTCATGATTTTTCGCACTATACAGCATAACCATGCGGAGAAACTGGTCAAAAGAAGGTATATGTGGACACAAAGAACACAGAACAAAGCCTCAGGCACCGAAAAGCCTTTAGATTAACTCCTATGGGTCCTTTAAAGACGTAGGCTAATCCTTTACTGAAATAACAGCATAAAACACAGAGAAGTCAAATGTCTGCATTCAAAATCATATTAAAGTAGGCTATAGGCCTATATAGAAGAAGTAATTCTGCAAAGCATCATATATAACATTATGAGATTGTAAATACTAAAGATGTAATGTTACATTCGTAGTATGAGTATTATTAAACCCTTAAAACGTGATTTTTAACATTCCTGCACCTAATAAGATATAAGGTAAAGATTGTTCGTCCAATTTGGGCACCTGTCAGTTCAATCCTTTCCGTCCCTGTGAAAGTCTTTAACTGGACAATCACAAAGGGGTTAACTCAAACCGGTTCAGCCTTAAACTTGGCTCTTGGCGTGGGGAGAGAAAATAGCTGTAAAGTTATGCAGAAGTTATTCTTCATCCTTCGGGCCGTCCCTAATCCGCCAAAAACCTCATTCTTTCATCGGAGAACTGTGCCTCCTTTCTTGTTCCCCTCTCTCTATACAACATAAAGTCAGACTGCATTTAATGGTTATGTCGGGATGGGAGAGGGGCTTTCTTCTTCCCCCTTTCTCCAGAATATTGCCCTTTTCGTCGTGTGAGTCTCCCAACCCGCAGGGACCCCCATATTCTTCCCTCCGCGTCTGACTCGAATCACAAACTAACCCTGATTTTCACCACTTTGCTGGGAATTGCGGGGAGTGATAATAGAGATTTCGCTTTCATTTTATACGCTTGACTTGGTTATTGTTGCTTTTCTCCTCTCCCGTGATTCTCCTCTTTTCCAGGGATTAGCCCTGACTTCGCCCGCTACTGACCGCCGAAGTGCCCCTGAGCCCCGGGTTGACAATTGACGCAGATCAAGGCAGGCCTATTCTGCGCCTTACAATAGCACCGAGCTGAGCCGGGTTGAAATGAGGGAGTTTTAATGGGAGGAACAGACGCCTCTCCGTTTGCTTCCCAGAAATTAATTGCCAGAGTTTTGTGGGATGCTAATCTTGAGAAAATGTAATACAACTAAGGCTAGGTGGCTTATCTTCATACTATGTATTGTAGACCAATGTATAGGTGACACAGAAAAGACACCATGATGATGAGGATGAGGATGATGATGATGATTATAATGATGATGGTCAGAGTAATGTTGGACACAAGGATGAAGCTGCCTATAATGGTTATGCCATTATATAAGTGGGCAGTAATGGTAAGTATGATATATGTTGAAGAAGATGCTGATGAAGATGGTGATGACAATGATATATATGGTGATTGAAGTGCTGCAGCTGAAGATGAGGATGAGGAAGATTATGAAAATGGTGAGTGACAAGGCAAAACAGCTGATATGATGATGATCAATGGCGAGGAGGGTGATGCTGGAGATAAGATCTGAATAAGAATCAGATTTATCATTAAGTGTTAACTCATACAAATAAGTTAATTAATAAAATAGCAGTAAGGTGTTGAATAGAGAAATTGACCATTAGATTATTTGTTCATCTATTGTTCTCTCAAAACGCAATTTATAGATAAGATCAGGACAAATGATTAATACATGTTGTATAGTTATTTGTGAGTATAATACAGTGACTTACTCCACCATATTTTATAGAGAAATATTGTTCTGCATTTCTTGAACGAATGTAGTTTTAGATATATAACCTTTTTGGCTCGTGGCCCCTTACAAAAAAGTGTGGTATGGCTTGTAATGTTTCAAATGAGCTGTTATCAGTTCCAAAAAAATAGATATTTGTTCTCTAAACTTTAATTTCCCCTAAAATGAATGTTCCAACATTAAATAAGTTTGCTTTCTTTCCCTATGTATCATCTCGCAACTCCTGAGAGTTGTCTTGTGTCCCTTTAGAGGGGGTCCAACCGCCTCAATTGGAAACCACTGCATACCCAACAGACTAACAGATTATAAACTTGTTAAAAATGACTTCACCTCCAAAAGCTATAACACACTAATGGTGCTTTCACTTTGAACACAACAGTGTTCAAAAAATAATGTCATGTCATGTGCAAGCGGGGCCTAGAAACAATAACAAACAGATTGGTTCAAGTGAAAGGTAAAGGAACATTTTTCATTTCTCTTAAGGGGCTTCTCCATTATGTTGTTGGACACTGTCATCACCAATCTAAGCAACACATCCTCACTCCCAGGTCGGCCTATGTTGACGTTATGTCAAGTCCCCTGTCGGCTTTTTCCAACGCAAGGGGGGGGGCCTTAGCGTCCATTTTCAACGCAAGGGGGGGGCCCTTAGCGTCCATTTTCAGCTTTCCGGGATGTCCATATGCTTCTATAGACGCTCATGGAAGCACGGCATTCGTTTGTGTCGGCTGCCCTTAAAGGCAATGTGAGCGTCCATTCTCATTGGATAACGGAGAATTGTACACCCGGAAGTAAGTATTCCCCTTACTGTCGATTGATTTTACAGTGATATCTGCACTACTCATCGACTAAAAAACACCAGATTATCCTTGTTAATGACACAACATTGATTGGTTTAAATTGTGTGCAATCCTTTTGTATTTTTCCCCTTCGATTCGGCGAAACAAATATGTTTTCGGAGTAAAGGATGGCAGAAGACACTACACTACCCAGAATCCCCAGCTATCGTTTGGACTACACCATGTGCTCTGTTTGACGTCACGTGATCTTCAAATTTCTCCCTGAAGAAAAAAAAAACATGGCCGAACTTCGTTTTATTCTCGATGGAAAATGCCTATTTTAAAGTTAGTTTGGCCATTAAAATGCGTTTTGATGTCATTTGATGCGAGAAATATGAGTTGTTATTTCAGATTATGTGTGCAGTGGATGTACATGATCTTTACTTTGCTAGTTATTACGAAGATTACTTCAGGAAATTGCGTCCATAACGTTTTCATTGTTACTAAGGTGGTTGCTAGGGACGCTGCTATCGATATTATTTCTGTTATGTTGTGTAACTGTTTAATGGTGTTATCTTTATTGCTACCCCCTTCCCCGTCAATGTATAGTGTTGGTCCACAGCGCAAACATATTAGTTTAACAAAATCCGCATCTAAAGATAGCCTACGTTATTTTCCCCTGTGCAATTCCAGTCTCACATCTCACAGCACATCGTCATTAACAAATAACGGAAACAGACCGAAAACATTGAAAAAAAATACAATAATACTTTATTCCGAGTGTGCTTGCTTTTCTCTTTGGAAGTCATCACATAACGGCATTGTAATACACGGTTCAGCTGCATTAAATATTACATATCTGCCGTAGTTCTGTATTTATAGAGCCCTGATGAGAAGACTTCTAGACAAACATGAGGAACTGAAAACGTGACGTGGATCATAAATATATCAGCCATTAAACAACATCTTACATTTCTTTTCACACAATACGTCTCCTTGCAGTATCAACACTAATTCGGCTGACTTTTATATTTGATC